GATATTGTCTGCTCAATATGTTGAGAGCACCTTGCTTGGCAGATATCAAACTTGGTACATTATACATTGTTTCCCTTAAAGAATAGCTTATCCCTATTGATTTTGAAGTAAGAAGATCAGGGGTCAAACTAGACAAACGAAAATATTGACCGTTTGATACCTTGAAAACACTTTGTTTTACAGACATCAAATTTAATACATTGATTCCTCTTAGTAAATAGATGACCTCTTTTGATTTTGCTATAATAAGGTCAAAAATATAGACATTAACTATATAAAGATATTGTCAGCTCAGAATCTTGATAACCATGTGCTTTACAGACATCAATGTTTGCTACATTACATGTAGAACCCTCTAAAGTACATTATCCCTAATGATATTGAGGTGTAGTACAGATCAATCTTAAATGTGTGCCCTTGAATATAAGATGACCCACTGTTTTCATTATCGTTACAGACATTCTAACTTTAAAGTTGTTTAACATTGCCACATGGGGGCTTATTTGTTTCTCATACATTTATTTTTATTTTTGCATTTGAAATTCTTTTTTAAGACCAAAAAAATATTTTAAGCAAAATTTAATGAAATTAAAATTTATTACTTATCAAAATATTGCTTTGTAGAGTAAATATCATTAGGTAGCTGTAGAAACTGTTTAGCTCAGAGTGTTATTACTATATTCTTTTTTATGATAAAATAATTCTTGACTAAACAATTATTTGAAGAAAAAACTAGTTACTCTTTCCTGCAACAACTTAGCGTGGACATTTCAAATCATGCAATTATATTTCAAATAATATAAGGTCCTGTCATTTATCGTAGCGACCCTTTTGACGAAAATGTTGCGATCTCACAAAGCAAAGCTGAAACGGAGTATGATGATGAAGACGCTGTCGATGTTTTAAATAGCAATAAACATGATAAAGGTGAGAACACTTGAGTTTGTTTGCTGAGGCAAACAACCTTCAATCTTAAATAATCAATATTGAATAATATTCTTTTTAAACGAGGTGTTTCTAGCTTTTGTAGTAATAAATATTGTGGTGTTGACGAGGCTCTAAAATACATTTAATCATAATTTACTCAATGTAATTTAAACAATACTTATCTTAAGAAAAATTGCTGTTGGAATCAGGACAGTGTAGTAGAAAAAGGAGTGATGGATTGATAAGCACTGAGAAGAATCTTCTGAGTGAGTTAACGCTAGGAAATTGTGAAAACTACAATGAAGCGTTTTCTTGGCAGTGGAAGAACGGACAAGGAACATGGAAAAGATTTCCGAAGATAGAAAATCAGAAAATTGAAAAAGCATTTGCAAAGAATTCTAATTCAACCATTCTTTTGGTAATTGATGAGCAGATGTAAGTGTTCTACATGATTTAAGTTTGACAAGCTGTTATTTATTAAAGGTGAAATTGATTTGAAATTGTAGTCTCAAAACTTTTCACTCATTTTTACCAATATCACATAAAATATATGTCAGGTTTAGACTGGCTCTATCAAAGATGAAAGCCATCAACATGTTAACAAGAGATGCATATGATGTGAGGCGGATCCACAACGATGGAGTTGGAACTACATGTTGACATATCTTTTTATGTACAATCAATTTATTTGGATTCTTTATTGAATTTTCTTGTAGATATCATCTAGTAAATAATATTTTCATATTCATTTTTTTTTTAATGAGTGACGTTGCTTTTCCAGAAATTGTGTTTTACTGGACGGAATCCAACAATGTAATTATTCTCAGATAAGCTAGCCTCTATTTCTTCAATACAATGTTTACTTGTAGGATATGAGTAAAGAAATTGTACATTCTTGAACCGAGCACGTAGTGAATAGTGCATCTCTCTCATTACAATTTTTTGATATCGCTTTAATCTCCAAATATTGCAACAGTTGGACAAACTGCAAAAATTACTAGGCATACTCTATGTATTCGATGGCTTCAAATTAAACAGATAAAACTTTTGAGTACACTTGTTATGTATCACACTAGATTTTGATGGAAACATTACGCAGAGGGTCGCCATATCTTACATCTGAAAATAATTTCACGTGTTAGATTGTCTTGAATAGCCAATATTATGCTTCAGTGATCTTGGATACTCATTAATTCCCTTACTCCAGTTTCTGTCTCCTAATCATAGACCCTAGAAAGCTGGAAACGTTGAAATGATGAGTCTGTTTTATCCCTATTATGACTTGTTGTCTGTTCGTTTGTTTTTGTTTTTTTATTATTATTTACAATTACTTAATATACTATCTTAAGAAAATGATATGTTCCCATTACAATCTAAACAATGTGTGTACCTCTTCCCAAAAATGTGAAACGAGTGCGTGTTGACCTCAAGCAAAGAAACCATGCTTGAGAGACAAAGCCACAAGATTTAAAATTCAGCATAATTTAATTCTGCCATTTATCTCCATATTTCAACATTCTTCAACTTTCAGACAGTTAAACTCTAAAATTCTCCAACTCATCTTTTATCCTCAAGTAATCTTTAAAGGGCAAAGATACATTACGTTTTTGTATTTTTCAATGTATTTAACAAATAACTTAAGTTTAATAAATTGAACAAGCGTATGAGCTGAAAATTCTTAATGTTCAATGACATCGGCATTCTATATAACGTTACACTAAATGCCTGTGTTTGTAAACAATGGCTCATTTGTATTACAATTGTTATTATTATTATTATTATTATTATCTTTTTTGCTGGATGTAAACATTGAATATAAACAGACAGTACAGATATGCTTTTTTTTTTTTGGCGTTTTACCTTCCATTTTGACTATTCTTAATTATATTTTTTTATGTCGCCCGCCTGGTGCATTCGTTAGAGTCGCGGGGTAAGGAATTGATTCTTATGTTACGGGTTGGAATATTATCCGCTGTGTGATGTAGAGATTGGTTCTTTGGATGAAACCGTTTAAAAAAAGATCCCTCGCTGCTCGAAGGTCGTACATGTAATTGCAGAGTACAGGTCTAGTACAAGTCTAAATTTACAGCCCTCCGCCAGCAAGTGTAAACAACTCAATATGAGTGATAAATTTTCAAAGTGACGATAAATAAACAGATAATGAAACAAACAATATTCTTTTAATATATATCAGATTTCGTACATTTTTTTTTATAAAAAAAAATTAAAATATTTTTGTGACAGGAAAATGCTTCGTCAAAACTCAGGGATATTGAATATCTCACTTAAATTATCACCATGGAAACAAAATTCGTGATATTAAAAATTTATCACAAACGGATATCTAAAAATGCAATGGTTCAGATACAAATAGAACTCTTTCATGCATGTTAAGCTATTGCGAAAATAGTAGGAAGTCGGTTTTTATCATGTACATAAAAAAAGAAATTTGATGCTAGAGGCACAGTGATTTCTTAAATGTTCTTTGGATACATTAATGTTCTTATGATACATAAATGGTGATTAGTTTTGAGATCTGAAAACTTAATTTCTGTATTATCTGGGTCACAGGATAGAAAATGCAGAGATGGGTTGATCACCAACATTGGTATAATCTGGCTAAACATGAAGCCCAGAAAAGTATGCTCTGTTTACATTATTTTATTTCCGCAAAATCGTATTATTAATGTTGATGATAAGATTCAATCAAGATACATAATTATGTTAAGATTGATGCAAAGCATCAAATCGGCCGAAAAAATATAAGCAATTAGAAGTATTTTTACGAGAAAGAATCCGAGGAAAACGCTTGCTACATTAAGTATGACATATTTTGATTTCAATTTTAAATAAAGCATAAATTTTAATAACTCAAATTGCAAAGTACACAAAAAATTTTTTCTCAGTGTAATTATTATCCGGAAACTCATAGCAATTGGTGTTCAAACGTAACACCCCCGTGTTTGGGGGTGTTTTTTCCAAGCCATTTTTATGAAATTGTAAATTAATAAATATTTGGCGATTAAAGAAATTAAAATTTAAACATAATAATAAATATTTATTTAATAATTTAAGTTTGTATCAAGCAATTTTCTAGAGTATTTTATTAATAACTTATCTTTACTATTATTGTAGAATTATTCTATAGAACCAATTGCATTAAAAAATAACTTCTCTTTTTTCCTATGAACACTTTCTAACTCAAAACTAATATATTAGATCGGCCCCCTGCAACTGATAATAATTTGGCTTTGCAGATCAAAAACGAAAGCACCAGCATGGAAGAGGAATATGCACCGTCTTTTTATTGGATACATCAGCCAGCATGGCAGGGGAAGGCTTCCATCAAATGAAGAGGGCTTTCATGGACATTATTAATGGTACCTTATGTTACCATTTTAACTCTTTATTTATAATGGCAGTATTATTTTGCAGTGTTCTATTAACTATTAAACTATTTATAAATACTGGTTTATTTTTCATGCTGGAGCATACATACAGAAATACATGCAGAATGTTTTTTCTTGCACAGTTGAGAAATAAAGTACACATTGATTTCAGTATGCATTTCTTTTATATTTCACAGAATTCAGTGCTCATTCATACGTTGATGAAAATGTTGCTGTAATTTCATTCGGGAAAGAAGTCAAATTCTTACATTATTATTCGCACAACTACGAGTCCGTTAGACGCAGTCTTGGTATCTTATTAAATTACATATTAAAGCTATAATAAATTTATTAATTGTTCTTTTTTGTAACATACAATACCAAATAAATATTTCTGACAAATAAATTTTATGTTCTTATGAACTACTGTAGATTCTTTATTGTACGCGACTACTTACTATCGCAAAATGGCTCTTAGGCGTAAAATCGCGAAAACAATAATTCGCAAGTGGACAGTTGGCCAAAAGACTTTATATGGATTTAAGCTCCATAAAAATAAAAACGAGTAATTTTATTTCACTAGAGCTGCTTCTCGTGGAATTACGCGGTAGTTAATTCCTCGCGTATATTTAGGAATCTACAGTATTAAAAGTTCTAATCCTTCGATAATTAAGCTAATGTGGAATGCAGTGGCAGTTCCCTATGGAAGCAGGCATCCTTCTGACTTTATCCTGTTTGCTTTATGGTGGAGGTAAGAAAATAATATATAAATCTCACGAAGCAGGTGCAAGGTTTAACAAAAAATGTACTATAAAAAGTCTTTATAGACATACCAAATAAAACATTTTTAATCAATTTAAAACATGTTTCAACATGGTCCAACTTAAAGAAAGGGCGAAAAGAATTCTAGACTACCTATAGCATTGTACAAAATGGAACAAGGTGTAATAATTGTTACCAATCATTGTTTTGAGTGTATGGTATTTATCTCTTAATATTTACATCCACTGAATATTACTTCATTTATTTCTTATAAAAACCATTGCCGTTAATCGGTCCATAAACAACACTAAGCAAGCCACCAACATAGATTTCTTAAGCAACGGCTGTCCCATCAATTATGCATACAATGGCATACACATTTAAAATACAATATTTGACATATTTAATATTCTTTGAATGTTTTTTTAAATAAATATAAAAATATAAACAATAAAATGTCTTTCATTGTTTGTTAGTACGTGAATTAATGTTGTAGCTAATACAGAAAAAAAATCACATAACCCGTTTAAGTGGGTTATGCATTTTTTTCTGCAACAGCTGCGACATTACTTCCCGTACTACGTGTAACAACCAAAGAAAGCTTTTTTATTGTTTAATTAACCTTTTTGAGGGCTAAAGATACCATCATCCTCAAACTTGGACGGATTCACAGAAGAAAAATAGCATTAATGTTCACGTAATATAGTTTCATATAAGTAATAATCGCAAAAAAAAAAAAAAATGTTTAGATTGCCATTTTTTTTTCAGCCTTACATGAACGAAAGTATCTGTCAGGGTAAAAAAAATCCCACATTTTATACGAAAAAAAAAAATCAAAATCTCGCAAAAACTTGTTCGTTAATTAAGTTAATAATTGAAAGTTCTAACTAAAAATAACCAAATAAATTTGCGAAATTTATTGATATTAGAAATACCATTTAATAATATACATAGATGTAAAGAAAATGCAGGGATGAAGAAAAATCAAAAAATTTTGCCGTTTGTACCAATTTCAATAGAATAAATAATTGATTAAACACATAATTTTTCTTCAAAAATTCTTTTACTCAACAATATTTTTTTTATTTCACTTAACAAAGACAAATCTTTTTCGAAAGATATACACATGTGTCAATTTAGCATAATCTATAATTGATAAGAAAATTTTGAAATACACATAATCTCATATGAAGACGGAAATACCTATGTCAAAGTTCTACTTATAATAAAGTGCTTTGACCGGCTCACTGGTTTGTTTGTGTGTGTGTTTATTTTTTTTTTGGGGGGGGGGGTTTCAAATTGTTTATTAATATTTCAAGTACCCTGCCTCAAAGTGATTTTATATTTTGTATTTATAGGTCATGTTGCTGCCTTTAAACACGACTTAAACGTGGATGCAAGATTGATAATTATTTCTGACGGATGGCCATCAACATCAGCAAATATAGGGGCTCAAGAAATCGACAAAATGAGCAAGGAATCATTATACGATGGGGTAAATTTATTTGTTCATAGCAAATTTCGATATTGTAAAATCTCCGATAATGTTACTTTCATCATTAGATGTCTGATTTAAGAATTGCATTCCACATCAACACTGCTGGTCATAAAAGATATTTAGGAAGCTTTTTTGTGATTTTTAGACTATTGCGAGATTAAACTCATTAATCAAAACAATAGGAAAAACTAGCCCTATTGTATGTATTCCTGTGGGATCTGATCCAAACATTGTAAGTCATTTTAGATACTGTGTTTTATTCCCTTTTCTCCATTTTCCAGTCATGTTGAAATATGACATATCTCGTTACTACTTTCCATGCACAATCGTCAATCATCCCAATCAAAATCGAATATGTACTAACTCTCTTACACAAACTTGTTTTATTTTTTTTCGAGGAATTCTTAGAGGGATTGGTGCAGCTATGCAGACGAGGCAGACTTTTAAATCATAGAGATGCCCGACAGTGTGGAAGATTTGCTCTCCATATGGCAAGCTTGATGGAGACATATGGATTTTCGTTTTCAAATGAATTTAAAGCTTTAAAATAAACACAAATCTGCATTTATTACAGAGAATGACTACTCATATTTTGGATGCAAAGGAAGTAGGTCAAGTAACACGCCAAGATATTGGGAGAATTGCAAGATTTTCCAGCATAGAAACTGACTTCACTGAAAGTGATTTGGTACGAATCATTTTCTCATCATATTTAAATTATTTATATGATCAATAACTATAAACACACTGTGTTTAAACTACTTTCTTTTATTTCATTTGTACCAGAGGAATTGTTAATGCATTCATTAGTTGTACATTTATAGCAAGAGAGACGATATCTACATTTATGTAATTTGTTAATTTCAAACTAGGAGGACGTCTTCACTATAGTTAATGGTTTAAATGCATACAAACCACCCACTGTTGAAGATCTGAAAGATGATGATGATGTCTTTACTGAACGTCATGCAAATCTTCCTACAATTGGTACAAGAGTAAAACGTGGACCACACTGGACCTATAAAAACCAAGATAGTAATGGACCTGGAACAGTGATTGGGCACTCTGAAAAATGTACAGAAACCTTATCAATCTCCTTACAGAGGACTATATTCAAATCAGTACAAACAAAAATTTGTCTACTTTATCTCATTAAAAACTATGTTCAGATATTTTGTTCACACTTCATAACTTTTAGAAAATAAACTCACCATATATGTTTTTGTTTAGTTGGTTGGGTTTTCGTGGAATGGGACAACGGCGTTCGATTGAGATACCAGTATGGATTCGATGGTTTGGATGAAAAATATGACATCGCTACAACCAGTGAACCAAGAGTTCTCATAAATGAATTGATAGCTGTTGGTTGTTTGGTTATCAGAGGTAAATTTGAATATTAATGAATAAATAACATGGCTGCAGATCAAATTTAAATGTAGTGAAGAACTATTTCAAATCATCATTACATTTTTTAAACTTTGTTTTGATGATTGTAGCATAGATTTTGAAATAACATAAAAAGTATTTACAAGTTTTACAAAATACAGACCACTGTATAATGCAAACTTCAATTACAAAAGGTCCTGAATGGAAATGAGGTGATCAAGATGGCGGAGAGGGCAACGTAGGAACAGTGTATAGAGTCGAGATGGACGCTGTTGTTTATGTGTGCATATGTGATTTTTTTTCCTTTGAACGTACTTGCCTTGAAATGTAAAAGATATTGGCAATGTTTTGTACTTCATTCCTTTTTGTTCTAAATATATTTTATATTCCCCTTCCTTAATTTATTAGAGACATATCTTATGGAAAAAAAATATTTAGTTAAACATAATCATAAGATTTTCTATAGTATGTACACAATTTTTTTCCAGCAGAAACAAAAATGAAGTTTGAGTCTACATTTGTACATGTCAAGTACATTTTCAACATTTAGGTAAAATGGCCCAATGGCAATCGCAGTAACTACAGATATGGATATGAGAACAAGCATGATGTACAGCTGTGGTAAGATGTTGTGCTACTTTTTTACCTTAGCAAACTTAAATCTGTTGTTAAATCATGCACTGTGTTTAGAGATAAAACTAACCTTTCTAAAATTAGAATTTCATATAAACGTTGAAAATTAAGAAAGATAATGAAATGTTTATAAGCTGAACTGATTTTTTTTTTTTTTTTTTTTTGCAGTGATCCATTTGATCCGTTTCTTCAACAAGGGTATTCTCGGCACCAATTGAATAATTCTGAACCTCCTGAAGGTGAATATTTATACCCCACGCAACAAGTTGCGTGAGGTATAATGTTTTTGACCCGTCCGTCAGTCAGTCAGTCAGTCAGTGTGTCAGTCAGTCAGTCAGTCAGTCAGTCAGTCCGTCAGTCCTGTTTTTTGTCAGCACAACTCCTCTTAAACCGCTGCACAGAATTTCGTCAAACTTTGCAGATATTTAGGACACAATGTGTAGATGTGCATATTACCAGGAAATTCCGATTCCTTTATTTTTTCTCGGAATTTCGGCACTTTTCAACTTAGATTTTTGGCCATATCTTGAATATGGAGATGAACAGTTTGTCAGCGCAACTCCTCATAAACCAATGCACAGAATTTGGTCAAACTTTGCAGATATTTAGCACACAATGTATAGATGTGCATATTACCAGGAAATTCCGATTCCTTTATATTTTCTTGGAATTTCGGCACTTTTCAACTTAGATTTTTGGCCATATCTTGAATATAGAGATGAACAGTTTGTCAGCACAACTCCTCTTAAACCGCTGCACAGAATTTGGTCAAACTTTGCAGATATTTAGGACACAATGTGTAGATGTGCATATTACCAGGAAATTCCGATTCCATTATTTTTCTGGGAATTTCAGCACTTTTCAACTTAGATTTTTGGCCATATCTTGAATATAGAGATGAACAGTTTGTCAGCGCAACTCCTCATAAACCAATGCACAGAATTTGGTCAAATTTTGCAGATATTTAGCGCACAATGTATAGATGTGCATATTACCAGGAAATTCCGATTCCTTTATATTTTCTGGGAATTTCGGCACTTTTCAACTTAGATTTTTGGCCATATCTTGAATATAGAGATGAACAGTTTGTCAGCACAACTCCTCTTAAACCGCTGCACAGAATTTGGTCAAACTTTGCAGATATTTAGGAAACAATGTGTAGCTATGCATATTACCAGGAAGTTCCGATTCCATTATTTTTCTGGGAATTTCAGCACTTTTCAACTTAGATTTTTGGCCATATCTTGAATATAGAGATGAACAGTTTGTCAGCGCAACTCCTCTTAAACCGCTGCACAGAATTTCGTCAAACTTTGCAGATATTTAGTACACAGTGTGTAGATGTGCATATTACCAGGAAATTCCGATTTCGTATTTTTCTGGGAATTTCGGCACTTTTCAACTTAGGTTTTTGGCCATATCTTGAATATAGAGGTGAACAGTTTGTCAGCACAACTCCTATTAAACCGCTGCATAGAATTTGGTCAAACTTTGCAGATATTTAGCACACAATGTATAGATGTGCATATTACCAGGAAATTCCGATTCCTTTATATTTTCTGGGAATTTCGGCACTTTTCAACTTAGATTTTTGGCCATATCTTGAATATAAAGATGAACAGTTTGTCTGCGCAACTCCTCTTAAACCGCTGCACAGAATTTGGTCAATCTCTGCAGATATTTAGTACACAGTGTGTAGATGTGCATATTACCAGGAAATTCTGATTCCATTATTTTTTCTGGGAATTTCGGCACTTTTCAACTTAGGTTTTTGGCCATATCTTGAATATAGAGATGAACAGTTTGTCAGCACAACTCCTCTTAAACCGCTGCACAGAATTTGGACAAACTTTGCAGATATTTATTACACAGTGTGTAGATGTGCATATTACCAGGAAATTCCGATTCCATTATTTTTGCCTTAAGAGTTTTGCCTTTTATTGAAGAAACTTTCCAGCTAGGTAATAAGAAACTCCACTGGAATCAGCTTTTTATAATGAAATTCTATGTGAAATATTTTATGACCTTAAAAGACCCCTATTGATTTTGAGATCAAAATATTAATGGTTTAACACAAACACACACTCACACACACACCATCTTCGATAGTTCTCTCTCTCCCCCCCCCCCCTTCAAATTGGTGTGCTTTGCCTTAAATAATTTCATAAGTACAGTATATAAACAGATTCATATGACTACATCATAATTTTGTTTCCATCAATTATTTAAATGTGTAAACTGTCATGTGTTGGACATGGACTTACACTCATTAACAAATCGAAATCACTGAGGAATTTAAATAACAGTTTGTCAGCATAATTCCGGCACTGAATTTCCTGAAACTTTGTAGGTATTTCAGAATAATGTATAGATTTGTATACCAAGAAATTTTGATTCCATTATTTATCTAGAAACTTCAGCCCAGTTAAATTTGTAACATACAAAGATTTGAATGTCCTTATATGCAAGAAGTTTTGATGTGATGATTTTTTGCAAGTAATGCCCCTTTTTTGAATTATACTGTGTATTTAAAATGCACTGTGCCATTCATTACGTGTTGCATTGTCGAGTTTTGGGGAAGCGTGGGGTATGTGAGCTTGCTCACTTTTTCTTTCATTAAAAAAGTAATTTGAACTCAACACATATCATACTGAATTTATAGAGATATACAAAATAACATTGCAAATAATTTTCATCTGAAGAGTGTAATTGGGTTTCCGTATTTACAATAAAAGCAAAAAAATGCTTCCGATAGCAGATACAGTTCTAATTATACTTTTCATATTTAATGTTTAATATCTAAGAATTAATCTTTGTAACCAAGAAGATAGCAAAGAAGAAACGGGAAACATTAAATGGAATCATAATTGGCTGTCTACTTCGCCGAAAGATGGAGAAGACCATTCACAAGCAGAATGCGGCTCAAAATGCGATGAAATTAACGGATCGATGAAATATGAGAGTCATGAAAAAAGTTTAAATGGACATACCATGAAACGTAAATGGCAATGGAGAGACTCTTCTGGGAGATGGAACGATTACAGTGATGAAATAAACAAAAAAATTGAAAATTCTCATAAAAGAAACCCTGATTCATCTGTTGTTATCAACTTCAACGGTCGCTTGTGAGTACTGCAAATTGCTTAATACGTTGGACGTAACAAATTTTTATTGAACGACATTATTTATTAACCTGAAATTGATCTTAACCACCGAATATTAAATGATCTTTCTTCTTAACAGACTGTCTAAACGTATTTTATTTTTTATGCTTAATAAAGATTTTTCCTTTAGATGCAGGATTATTTTTCAAAAGAGAAAACAAATTGACACACTTTCCAAATCAATAACAGATATAAGAAGCAGCGAAGACGATTAGAAAAATACTTGATTTATGTTTTGTGACATTGTCCTTGATATATATTGTAGAATTTGATCTGAATAAATTTAGAAATAGACTGTCTTCCTTCTCATTGAGATAAAAGGGTCATTAAAAAGCGTAGAAAATGAATGTTCTTCTGCAGATTATTTTTAGGATATTTAAGATCAACACATTATCAAATGTTGAAATATTTGTTTTGTCAATGTGTGCAGTTTCATTTAATTCGTTCAATTAGAACTCATGACGTTAACAGCAAAGTGTGCTCACATGAAATACTGACTGACGATGACATTCTTACTGAGGTCAGACAGAAATCAAATGTTAACAGCGACAGCGGTGAAAACGACGATAATACAGATACAGCATTTGAACACGAAATGACTTCTACTGACGAGGCCCTTACGGCCCAGAAAACAACATACATTTGTCTACAAGGCCAGTCTGATGTTCCAAATGAATTGTGTTGTATTTAATTTGAAATAAATCTCAAGATCCCTCAAATTTCAATGTAAACTAGTTTTACTGTAGATACTTTTTGAATAATCCTCGTACATTTTATAACAAAATTTGATAATATTGGAAGTTCAATTCTTTTGATTTATAATTAGATTGAAATAATAACCATATATCAATAGTATAGGAATGTCAGTATTTTCTTCACAAAATTATAAAGTAAAGTGTGTTTTAAAGCAAACAAATATTGAATATTATTATAGAAAACACCACACAAATCTAAATTGTTGACGTTTAATGGCGAATTATGGCCATGGCAGCACTACAATTTTCAGTTATCAACAATCACAATTAGTTACTGGTTACAATCGTAACCAAGGTTACCGACCCAAGTACATTGGGCGATTTTGGCAACCCAAATGGCAAATGGCAAATACATGCTAATGAAAATACACAAAAAATAGGCAAATATAGAAATAAATATGAAATAGGCAAATATACAAATGAAGCTGTTAAACAACATACTGGCAAATAATACAATGGAAATGTTTCATCCAGTCTGACACAAATAAGCCAATTGAAATTTCACACATATTGGAAATAATTATGTAAAGTTGTAGCGAGCCCTGAGAACAGATGCTCACTAAATATAACCCTATTTAAGTTCAGCTAAAGATTGTGTGGACGTATTCCATCCGTTATATACAAATTGGGAATCGTACGAAAATCAGTCACATATAAAGTAATAGTGAGCCCTGGGGTCAGATACTCACTAGATATATTAATCACTATTAAAGTTCAGCAACAGATTGCGGAACACATCTTGGAAATTTTAACTTCATGGGTGTTGGTACAATAACAGTTTGGATACAGCAACAGCCATCAGAGGTTACAGCCATGCATTGCGCCATGACGAAGTTAGGTATTGAACTTAGAGATGGACAAGGCTGATAGAAGAAAAAATAAGCGGCAGAAAAATGACTCCCAATAAAACATTTTTAATTGTATATTCATAAATACAGGGTGTGGGGGGGGGGGGTTAACACAATAAAAAAAATAAACAAATTTACAACTTGAGATGCAGGATAGGTCTGCTCTTCTTCGTTCTTCAGAGGAAAAGGAAGTACGTAGGATTCGACTAAAATACCAAACGTTGAAAAATCGGGGAAATGCTAACGACCCGATAACCCCAAATATGGGCCTCTCTAATAACGCAATTTAATTTTCAGCAATACCTTCTATTTCCACTATGGAAGAAATATACTTCTTAGTTCGCTCTTTTGTGAAAAAGTCGGAAAAAGTACAAATCTCGCGGGATTTCTCTGACAAACGTAACATAAACATGTAAACAATATGTTGAATGTCTATGAACAAATCCTATGAAAATTCAAATGAAATATTTTATTGTTGTGGACTTTATATACATCAAAAGTAGGAATGACAACGATATCAATTTATATCTATTGTTGATCGTATGTATCTATTTATCGTATGGTACATCTAAAAACAATACACATGCCTCGGAAATGTCGTATTTTTTATTAATGGATGATAAATTTAGGGTTCTCGCTCTCTTACATATGTATTTTAGTTCCATTCTTTAATTGGAATGACAGATACATTTAACATTTAAAACTGGATTGAGATTGGCATGGTTTGTATTATCCGGAACGCCATGCAATCCCAGTGACGACCAAACGCGCCTCTAATTTTGAAGAGTTCACTAATGGTAATAGAACGTATTAAATCGAACTAATATTAATGGAAAACTTGAAATATGCGTTTAGGGGTTTAAGTTTACACAAATTTGCATTAATTTATTAATGTGGCTTTTGTATACATGTAATAAAGAATGTTGTTTCTTAGTTAATCTGAAGATATATTATTTATGTAACTTTCGAAAGAGGAAAATTATAACCTGTGTACACAAAATCAAACAGTCAAACAGGTTCGTTCTGGGCAAGGCAAATGACACAAGTATCTTTCAACTTGATTTAAAACTTTCTTAATTAAATTACAAATAAAAAATAATAATGGATATTTTCATCTCATCCAAAATCTTTGATTCGTATCGAGAAGATGAAAAGTTTATATTTCAATTCAGGTGAATTATTAAGAAAAGAAAGTATCACTATTTGATAATGTGTTCATGATCATAAAGAAGGGATTCTTCTCTGGTTTCTGACTAAGTGAAACATTGAAAGTATATTTGCTTAAATGTCCTGTATATGTAGATGTTAAGGATTTTAAAGATGATAATTTTCTTTCTTTCTCATAATTGAACGACTTTAAAAAGAAATGATTAAATGACTTTAAAATCTACAAGGGATTATATTTTGGCGGAACTGCAGCGTACATGAATGAAAAAATATCCTTTTCTGTTTTTCAAAATTACTACGAATAACAACGAAATAATTTGGCATTTTTTTAACAACCAAAGGCTTCCAAGAAGTTTATAAAGTAACTGAAATTACTAATCATGAACTTTCATTTTAGATTACATCAAATAAATACGATTTTCCAAACAAACAGCAATTTTGCAAACATTTTATAAAAAATGTTTTATATACAGTATTTTCATAGACAAAATATTTATAAGACAGATAAATCTTGCTAACGGAAGTATTCTTTTCTTACAACCACATATAAAATTGTGCTATTCTGAGTTAAGAAGCAACGATTTATATTTTTTTAATGTAAATTTAATAGGTATGACACTAAATATTATTTTCATATACAATTCATACAAAAAATAAGCAGCGCTTCATACCTCATGCTATTTTTCATTTGAATCTGATGTCATAGCTCTTGATGAAAATCAATGTTGGGAAATTTAAAAACAAATTGTGCCATTTAGAACAGAGGATCAATAGTCCTTAATAAATGAAATCCAGGAAAGATGCACATTGCAATGCTGCATTTTGATAAAGTTTTTTTGTCATATAGCTGAATACATGTCTGTGGTTTCCGTGCTAAATTTCCTGTTCATAGGGACTGGCGAGGAAATTTTTTTATAAAACAAACTGAAGCAAATATGAAAAGGCTTGAAGTTTTATAAATGATAAGAATAATAAATTTTCTAGCCCTGTTTCGATGAGTTAGTGGAGAGACATTTTCTAATGGCTGGTCGTATTGAGGAACATTCTTTGGTAGAAAGATTGGGAAAAGAAGCTATTGAACGTAAGTGATCCTACGTGCTACTTAAAATAAAACTATACATGTGTGTAATGAAATATGGAAATATCATTTTTCATATCAAATTTAAAAATTCTTCTTATCATATCTAATTTATAGTGTATGTTATAAATTGTCTTGGCCAAATTTCAATACTCAGTTTACCAATGGAATTTCACATTACGTTTATATTAATTTAAAAAATAATTTTAGTTTATCATGTCAAAATTTTCATCGTGTTTACAAAATTTATTTTAAAAAAAAACTTATTTTGAAATGTTCAGCATACAAAAGGACTCAATGATACTTCTTTAGAATTAAAGATAAAATAATGAATTTTATTTCCATTAAAGTATACAGGATTTGCCTGTGGATTTATTTTTTCAGGGTTCTCCATCATTTTAAATTTAACTGTGGCGCAAGACATACGCGAAATGCTGATATTTGTGGTCTTTTCGCGACCGAATTCGCAGAGTAACCACTGAATAAAATGAAAAACACATAACTTTTCTTAATCTCTATGTTAATACACAAATTGTATCTAAAAATATTAGTGTCATTAATAGCACATTTTTAGTGTTTAACCTGATTTTTTTAAAAAAAAAAAAAAAAAATTTGTTTACAAAATGTAAGTTATATCCCCTCAGTGTCAGACAGAAGAATTTTAGTATGTCACACGCTATTTATTTTTGCAATTATTGGTCTCGGTTGACCAATAATCTTAAAACTTGTAAATTAAAGACACATTAGCTGTTTGGGATTATAAAACATATTTTGATTGATCTATCGTTAATTTGTCAACATTATGCAGCAAGACATAAATACGATACACGTACGATGTTCGACTCATAGTGCCAATGCAATTTTCGAGACGTGGGTTTCTTTAGTAAAGCTTAATTATATATATAATAGCTCGAAAAAAATTTATTTGCAATTACCGGGTAAGAGGGACAAAATGGCTTTTCTCTTTTCATTAATGCGTGAAGTCCAACGAAGCCTAGATGATAATACGCAAGTTTCGAGATTATCTCCCTTGATGCGCTCTTTCGTTACGGAGGGGAGTTTTGTTTCCGCGTAAGTAGGCAGGTGGGACAGTTGTTTATATATTGGATACATTACATCATCCATGTGCACATCGTAACTAATTGTAGGTATGAACTCTTCAATCCGAAAATTACCGAATTAAAGTAAAGGCGTCAATTTTTTCTACGAACAAAAAATCGGAACCAAAGAAAATATCAGTTGATAAGAACTTATCTAACGAGGAAAGAAATATGGATCTCAAAAATACACACGCATATGATCATTGTACGTTGGCATTCTGAATGACTCTTTCCCTTATAATAACTTCAAAGAGCCCAATATCTTTTTACAAAAGGTTTGTACGATCAAAGAATTATTTTTCTTACAAAGACTATGACGGTTCTTCCGTTTTGAAGTATCCTAATTGAAAGCAAATTAGTAAATATGTATAGCAGAGCTTTATAAAACTATCAAAATGATCATTGCTTAGCACTAGATCATATTTCTATAACATTAAATGAATTTTAAAAGCCGTAGCCATCGTTCATTTATTTATACAGATTTGAACCTGTCCCAATTCCATGCTGATATGGATACTTTTTGTGCCTCTTTCGTAGCCAAACAACGGACTCTAATAAGAGTAAAATGACGCTTTAGCATTAGAATATCAGTTACAGAATTTGGGGTCGCCCGCGTGGCGCAGTGGTTAGAGGGTCTGCTCTAGAGTCGCGAAGTAAGGAGTTGATCCTTACGTCGCGGGTTCAAATCCCACTGTGGGATGGGCTGTGGAGACCGGTCCTTCGGATGAGACCGTATAAACCGAGGCCGCAGTAGGTGCTGGCACAAAAAAGATCCCTCACTGCTCAATGGCCGTAAGTGCCGAGTATAGGACAAAATTTGCAGCTCTCCACCGTCAAGTGGTGGCGTCTCCATATAAGTGAAAAATTCTCGAGAGGGACGTTAAACAACATACAAACAAACAAACAAAACAGAATTTGGGGTTCGTTTTTAAGGCTAAATATTTAATATACATTTAATCCGACGATGTTACTGTGGCGCTAATATTTTAATGTGGCGGAACTATGGCGCTGATTTTTTTTTCACTTTAACTCTAAAGAATTTAACTGTAGCGGGGCCGCTATGTTAAACGGCCCACGAAGAACCCTTTTTGAATATTTTTATGAAGATCACATAAGAAAGCAGACAGAAGGACGTGGAGTATGCAACCTCTTCATATTGGACACATCAGAGAGCATGAAAGGAGAAGGGTGTCGACAAATGCAGGAGGCTTTTGCATCCTTTATAGAAGGTATACAAGTTTCAATTGAATTTCTTTTTTTTTTAATTATTATTATCTATTTATTTATCTATCTATATATTTATTTTTTTAAAAAAAGACCATCATTTTATATATTGCTAAAGTACAATTATAAATTTGTTCCGACATTTTGATAAGATTTGAAAATAAATAGAAGAGCGGCTAATGAAATACTTTTTTTTACATATAGGTTACGCAACCAATTCAATGTTGGATGAAAATGTTGCAGTGATACAGTTTGGAACAGAGGTTAAATATCTGCACTATTTCTCCAACAACTATGTCTCCTTGAGTCGAATATTAGGTCAGAAAATACCATTTTTGCTCTGCCTAAATTTATACGACTTTTCATACTAATAATTCTAATATTTAATCACATTTAATTTTCCCATTATTTTAATTCAATTGAAAATTTGAAGATGACTTGTCATGTTCTGGACCATCACTGATGATCGAAGGCTTCCTTTTAGCTATTTCTGCCTTGGAAAATGGGCGTACGTTTCTTTTACTGATTCAACATCGACACTTATAAATGTTTTGACCGATGTAATTAAAAAAAAAAATAATAATTAACATATTTGTTTTGAACAAATACAAACTGTTAAGTAAAGGTAAGTTCAAACATCACACTACATATTATATTTTATAGAACGGAACACCACTATTGGCCCATTTAACTGCAGAGCTAGAGTGATACTTATTTCTGACGGCAAAGCTACATCTTCGACTGACTCAGATTCAGAACATCGTTTTTCTGAAAATGAAGAAAATCAGGTTACAAAATGACATTTTTTGCTTAAGCTAACTTCATTCAAATGTTAAATAAATGACATTAAATAGTATTGATTATTCCATATTTTTTTCATACAACTTATTGACTTACATATATATATATATATATATATATATATATATATATATATATATATATATATATATATATATATATAGATATATATTTGATTTTTCTCTCAGAATGTGCAACTTTTGAATCTGGTGAGGCAAATAGGAAACATAAATCCAATTACGTGCGTACCTGTCGGAAATGATCCAAATATTGTACGTATATATTATGTTCAATTATCTGACTGTGCACCTATCTTAATTTGCATCCATTTGTTTAATCAAACTATGTACGATTTTAAAATGATACTAATATTGCATGTACACAAAACAAATTGTCTTTAATTAATTACAATGATCATATATTGTTTTTTGGTTAGAAATATTAATGATCCAAATTATGTGTATCTCCTGGAAATTATCTGAATGTTTTAGGTTAAATATCAAAAAATATGCCACAATAGAAAAAATTGTACACTGAACAAATATATCTTGTTTACATCATTTACAGTGCTTATTGGCGACCATTGCCTATGGATCTCGAGGAGGAAAAATTCTAAATTATGAAAAAGCTCGACAATTTGCAAAATATTCATTAAACATGGTTGAGTACCCTTTATTCTACATGTATCAAATGTTTTCCATTTGTACCCATACAATTGTTTGTCATTCTTTTCATATTGAGACTTTAAAAAAAAGAAGAATGCTTTTCTTACTTATAGATGATTGCTGGAGACATCCTCGGGGAGGTACCACCTACTTCCTGTACTATTGATGACGTGAGATCCTTAGTATTTTCTACAAGATTTCAGCATGTTGTGACAGAGAGGGACCTGGTAAGTTGTATCAATTTTTTCCAAAGACAAGCAATTATATCATCTTTTTTTCTTGCTTTTCTTTTTGTCCTTGTTATTTTTGGGTGCGTTTCTTTTTTTATTTGTTGTTATTCTTTTGTTCTTTTCCTTTTTTTAATACATTCTTTGTCTTGCCTTCGTTTTTTTTTTATCAGTCCCTCGATCTCTCTTCTTAATGTCGTAAAAAAATCGATGGAATTTAAAGAATATTTTCACACAGACACTCAAAAAAATATTTTTTTAGTTGGTTTTATGTGTATACGAATGTTAGATCTTGTATTTCTGTTCTGACTCCACAAACTAAATACATTACATTCAAAGATTTTTTACAGTTCCACAAAATTATGGGCGTTTCTGAGTATGTCTGTTCCAGAGGAATATGGAAATAATTTGGATTAATATCTATTAGTAGAATGGATGTTGCTTTATTCGTAGATTTCCAAGGGCACTTTAGATATGTCACCTTTTTTTAAGAACAAAGGACAATTTAAAACCTATTTGACTTTTATTTACCGAATACTAGCACATATATACTTTTGGTGAGGAAAGGATAGATAGGTTTCTCGCATTTACTGATTTCTTCTTCTTTTTTCATTTTGTTTTCTTATTCAAAGGTTATTCCAATTCGTTTTGTTTGAAACTTTTAAATATTTTTACAAGAACCAGCAAACACTTGCTTTGTCTTTTCTCTCTGATTGAAAACTTTTGTTTGTTTATTTGTTTGCTAGTTTAATGTCCCTTTCGAGAATTTTCACTCATATTGAGACACCACCACTTGTCGGTGAAGGGTTGTAAATTTTAGACCTATACTCGTCATTCAAAGCCATTGAGCAGCCATTTTTCGTGCCAGCATCTACAGCGACACGAGACCTCGGTTTTTGCAGGCTCATCCGAAGGACCAGTCTTAACGTGGGATTCGAATCCACGATGTAAGGACCAACTCCTTACTCTGCGACTCTTCCGCATAGGCTCTAACCACTGCGGCACGGATTGAAAAGTTAATGTAATTTAGAAAAACAAGCATTATGAGAGTATTACATTAGCAAAACTAGTCCCCTACCGGCAAGTGTAAGCTGGTTCCCGTTAAACATTGAAAATGCCATAAATCCGTCAAAAATCAGTGAAGCGGAACGAAATGTAAACTTTATAACTCATCAAGGTAAAGTCACATAACAAAAATCAGCTCAATATCTGCAAGCGTTTAGAAAAAAAATATGCGGAAAACCCTGAAAAATTGAAAAGGTCGCAATTCCTTAAAAAATCATTGAAGCGGAACAAAATGCAAACTTGATCTGTAACTATCAATATACCCATATATTGAAAAAATCAGCTCAGTATCTAAAAGCGTTTAGAAAAAAAAGTGCGGAAAACAAAGTGGGACAGACTTACAGACAGACAGAGGTACAGCTAGACGGACAGCCAGACAGACGGACGGGCAGAATCAGCGGAAACCTATAGTCCCCTCCGGTTTCACCGGTAGGGGGCTAATTAATGAGAAATTGATTTTTTTTCTCATTAATAAAACGGGAAATTGATTGAGAGTCTGCCTTTCTGAGATCTTTGTTTAAATTATCGCTGTAGATTCCATGTAGTGGAAAATTGTTCTGCCCCCTTAATCGAAGATTTGGTTGCATATAAAGTTTTGCCCTGTCTGTCTCTCTGTCTGTATGTCAGAAAAAGGAAAAAAATAACCTTGCCCATATATGTAATTTTTAATTGGCTGAAGATGTGGATTTCATATCTCAGATGAGTTTTCCTTGTGACAAGACAATTCTTTTGATTCTAACATATCTGACCTCTTTACCTCGCAGTTTGACCCACATTTTCAAAAGTTTGCAAAACTTGGCCATAACTTTTGAACTGTTGGTGCTCTGCCTTTCATATACTTCATATGGGTATTCCTTTTGTTAAGACCTTCCTAGCTATGGTACAAATATTTTGACCGTTTGACCTTGACCTTGGAGATTGACCTTAATCTAAAAACCTTTAACGATGGCCTTCACTTTTGAATGGTTAGAGTTAGGGCGTTTGCTCTACACATGTCTATCCATTGTGATAAGTCCTTCCCTTGAGTAAAAGTAATTTTGCCCCTTTGACCTAGACCTTTCAGTTTAACCTACTTCTTAAAATTTTTAATTTTAGCCAAAACTTTATAACAGTTGGTGCTACGGCTTTCATATTTCACATGTATATTTATGATGAAATGATCAATCCTTGGGCACCAACAATTTGGACTCTTTGACCTTGACCATGGAGTATGACTTTCCTTTGAAAAATTTCTTTATCCTTGACCATAACTTTTGAACAGTTGGTGCTAGGGCATTTACGTTTCACAGGTATATTCCTTGTGACAAGTCCATTCTTTGGGTACCAAGAATTTTTAACCTTTGACCGACCTTGACCTTGGAGCATGTTTAGTGCTAGGGCATTATTATTTCACAGGGATATTCCTTGTGACAAAATCTTTCTTTTGATGTCATTAGTATTTATCTCTTGACCTTGATATTGGGGTATTACTTGCATTTGAGAAACTTTAACCTTCTTCATAAGCTCTAATACTTGGGCATCATTGTTTCACAAACACCTCTTTTTTATTTATATATTGCTTCTCAAAATTAGGAAGATGTCGTGGATATTTTAAACAATAGGCGTGCATATGAAATAAATGTATACCAAAATGAACAACAGTTGGACGTCCAGGTATATAGTGAACGCAATGAAAGATTACCTCCACCAGGAACTAGGGTACGAAGAGGTCCATGCTGGACTTATAATAATCAGAACTCCAGTGGATTAGGCACTATCATTGGACACTGGAATCAAGGTAAGAAGGGTCCAATTTCGACAAATTAATTTTTTCTGATATTTTGCATTAAAAATGTTTCTTTAATCTACAGATGGATGGGTCAATGTTGAATGGGACACTACAATGAGATTTCCGTATAGATATGATCCCAGTGATCCAAACCAGTGTGCTGTCATTATTTGTAATGAACCTCGAATACTACAAAGAGAAAATATCGCTGTAGGATGTGTTGTTAAAAGAGGTAAATTCTAAAATCATTGCCTAATTGTTTCCAGTGCGTAACCTATTATAGTAAAGGTTATTATTGATATCCGTCGAGAAAAATAATTAGGTAATGCTTGAAATTTCTTTTGTCTGGATATATAGGAAAATTTTTGTATCCTAATTGTTGATACATAAACTATAATAATAAGTTCCATAATTTAGATAAAAATTGATTGATTGTTTTTGTCTATTTGGAGAATTTTTCACCCTTATGAGACATCAACATTTACCTGTGAAGGGCTTCAAATATAGATCTTTAGTCGACATTGATTGCCATTGCGCAGTGGGAGTTCTTTTTCGTGTCAAAGTCTACCTTGACAGGGACCTCGTTTTTTAAGGTCTCATCCGAAAGACCCGTGACGCTTATTTTTTATGACGGGCGATTGGCGAAGAAACAGTCACTACGTACATGTATATACATGTACGTGCCAAGAATGAGAATCGAATCCGTCACTTCCCGATTACATGCAAAGCGAACGCCCTACAACTAGGCTGCCGCGATTGGTAGTTTAGTTAAAAAAAACAGATGATGTCGTTTTCATTTTCTTTATGCTTACTTAAAATAAATATCACAATAACTAAGATCCGTTTTCATTTAATATTGGAGCAAAATTGAATAAATGTTTTTTTTTTTTTTTATTTTTAATAGGACCAGATTGGATATGGGGAAACCAAGATGGTGGTATAGGCAATATTGGAGCTGTTTATAGAGTCAAAGAAAAAGTGGTCTATGTATATTGAAAATTTATCACCTCAAAAACAATTTAAAGATGATTAGTGAACTTTGATGGAGTTATATAAGTGGATAAAAGCTTTTCACTAGTACATGTGTATTTTTATTAATAATTTAAATCAAAGTTTGGCTTTAATTTACATGTACATTGTAGTTTTTAATTTTAAGGTTCGCTGGCCAAATGGAAACAAAAGTAATTACAGATTTGGTTATGATGGGAAATTTGACATTGTAGTATGGTGGGTAATTTGTGATAATAAACACAAAATGTAAACGTGATGATACTTTTATAAGTAAATCATAATCAATTTTAGCTAGGATTAAATTTTTCGCATTTTCAGCGAGGATGTTGAGATTGATAATATTGACTATCGCTAACACATGAATATCGTAACTATTCATTAGAGCTTACTTATCTTTCTAGGCATCATAAAGTCCTTAAATTTTCTTGTCACCAAAATAAATGCTTATTTTTAGGGTCAAAACGCTAAATATTCATCAAGCTGAAAATTCCACTTATTTAGTATCAGATCCTTGTATATAAAACTCAGGAAAAAGGAATTTACTGCGAATAAACTAGGGATATTTTTGATTTCTGAAACACTAATTTATTTTATACAATCAATTCCAGTGATCCTTTTGACGAACGAGGAGTCATTGCATCCCATAGGTGCGAAAATGTTGTAAAATTTACCAGTGACAGACATAATGGTGTTGAAAATGATAGCCTAGGTAAAACAAAGTAAAAATACAAAATAAAGATAGTAAAACAAATAATGGAAATATAGGAAATATAAATGATTTATTATTCATATTTGGGGCTGATATTACATATCTGGATATACGATTCTTGATTTCCGATTCTGTAAAACTGACTTAAATAAAAAGCTGAAAATTCAATGTGTCAGTTTCTTCAATATATTTTAGAAAGAATAGAAATGAAACCGGAACATTCCAATAAAAGAAAAAGTGGGGTTTTAAAGTGTTGTGAACAAAAAATACATTCAGAATCCACAAAAGAAAGTGACGAAGAAGAAAGTGATATATCCTGGCAATGGAAAACCGAGAATGGCGAATGGAAACGCTTTTCGAAGACGGAAAATTTGAAAATTATGAAAGCATTTGCTATGAATTCAAAATCAACAATACTAATGGAGATAGGCGAACAAATGTTTGTTTTTTTAACCATTTTGCAGTTCATTTTCGACCATAAAGTGTTTAATATCGTGCTAGTGTTTTACTGATGTACTTTTATTTTCTCTTAATAGGTATAGAGTGATATTATCAAAGATGAAATTGCTGAATATATCAACAAGAGAGACCTATGATGTGAGGTGCTGTTAAAAAATGACAAGAACTAGAAGCTTTATATTTCATTTTGACTCCTTTTGTAAAGAATTCTTAGATATTGTACCGCAGTATAACATCATTGATATCACGTGTAAATATTGTCTGCATGGAAGCTTCATTCACATCGTATTTCCTAAATCAACTTTACAGTGAACCATTACTGTGTACATATTCAATAGTATTTTTCTGTAATTTCTGAGCATTCGATTTTTATGGCCACGAATACGTAAAAAATGAACTAGATATTAAGCTTTGTTGACACTAAAATTTGAGTGGCCCCTATTGTATTTTCATAAATTTCCTAAAAAAATTACTTATCTTGCCATTTATTGAATAACATTTTTGAATGTAAATGAAGTCTTCGTCTTTGCTTTACCGATTGATTCAAACAATAAACAATTTTTTTTTTGAGTATTTATGCTGTTATGTAACCCAAAACAGTCAAGTCCAACAAAGAGCTAGAGCCACGAACCACGATATTTGGCCTCATGTTTTACACAAAATTAAAATTTCGATTCCAGAGGGGCACTATACTTTAAATGTTAGTACGGCGCGATTTGGCACGTGTGGCGGTTAGAAAACCTATGATAAAATTGTTGTGGCTTTAGCACTTTGTATTGCAGGATTTCGTAGAGAGAGAAAAATGGGCCATTGTAGTAACACACAGTAATATATATTGTAAATATTCTAGTCAAGCAATAATCAAAATGGCAACTGCAGTAGAAATGGAAAATGGTCAGATTTTCTTGAAATGCACTATATTGTCGGAATAAAAGAAGGATTTCTGATATTGAAATGTACTAACATTCCAAAATAATTCAGATTTCTTTTTATTGTGATTAAGTCAAGGTTTACCAAGAATTGATGAGCCAACAATAACTGTCTGCAGTACAGATAAGGCTACAAAAAGGAGGCAGGCCTAATATATACGGAAAATGTTTACTATTACATTACGAAAAATATTTCTTCATTTTACCACAAAATGAAACGATTTGCAAGTTTAAACTGTTGGATTGCTATAAACTACATCAACACTTATTATTACATGCAGTTTTGCCGTTAGTTAAACCACACAGCCAGATATATACAATTCACTGATCGCCATGTACCTGTGATCAATGTGACGTCTAATCGTAAAATTTGACGCAGTTTGTATGCAATGTAAAGCAGACCAAGTTATACTTTATTTAATGAAAAAATGTACTTTGTAATCAAATACAATATTATTTGCAGATATATATAAGGCCATTTACTTGGATGCGATGTCTATTTTAGGATCTTATTTATAAACTTTCCGTACATTCTCGAGATAAGTGATGTTGACGTATATTTGTATACAGATTCATTGGAGGGTAAGAGAGGGGTCTTAATAAATCGATTTATTGCAAGGTTATGCCCTCAATGGATCATGACAATCTTTTACACACATATTCAAGAAGTATTAAGATGTCTGAAAAGTGTTGCGAACCCGTTAGATTGATTGATTGTAATGTTTTACAACCCGTTAGAGAATTTTTCACTCATATAGAGACGTCAATATACCGGTATACCGTACTGTCACGGTAGCTCAGTCGGTAGAGCGCTCGCTCCTTGATCGGAAGGTCGTATGTTTGAATCACGGCCGTACTGACCTTAGTCGATAAAAAAAAAAGGTTGGAACTGTTTCTTCGCCAAGCGCTCGGCACTTTGAAGTGAAAGTTGCGGGCCCTTCGGATGAGACCTTAAAAACCGAGGCTCTGTGTCACGGTAGGCGTAGGCACGATAAAGAACCCTCACTGCTCAATGGCCCTGAGTGCCGAGTAATGGTCTAAATTTAAAGCCCTTCACCGGTATATGGTGACGTCATAAATGAGTGAAAAATTCTTGAATGAGACGTAAAACAACATACAATCAATTAATCACCATATACCGGTGAAGGGCTTCAAATTTAGACCTTTACTTGGCACTCAGGGCCTCGGTTTTTAAGGTCTCATCCGAAAGACCCACCGTACCGTCCCTTTAAAGTGCCGAGCGCATTCGAAAGAACAGTTGCTACCTATTTTCATCGACTTAGGTCAGTCGCGGCAGTGATTCTAACACACGTTCTTCCGCAACTGTGGCCTGGTCGACATGTAACTCTGAAGAGGAAAAGATTCCAAAAATACGGCAAATCCGGAATATTAGACCGGTTTTGAACGACATATAAACAGAAGGTACGTGAGTTGAGAAAAAATTACTCATTTCACACACAGGGAATCCATAACAGTCAGGTGATATAATGTTTACTGGTAAACGTGTGATTAATTTTTGTCGATTTAACTGGGCTGATTACAAGGCTTAACATATCCAGTTTTTTTCCTACTAAATAACTCAGCATAGGTATAAAACTAAAACGTCTGATACGTAAACATAATGCTTTGTGATCAGCTAATTGCATTATACTAACCAATTAATTTCTTTAGCATAATTCAGATTCAAACTAAAAAATAGGAATCTTTTATAAGAATGACTAGCATAAGTTAGAGTTGTTTCTATTAACAAGCATTGTGTTAATTGTGTATATATTAATAATATTTTTATGTTATTCCTTTTGTTATGGAATAACATAAAAAGAAGAGTAAATGGTAAAATCTTATCGAAAATAATACCTTGTAATGATATTAACATGTAATATAACTCAGTACTAAGACAGTCTCCATATACTGGATGCTTCCAAGTATATATATATATATATATATATATATATATATATATATATATATATATATATATATATATATATATATATATATATATATATATATATACATACATATATATATATATATATATATTTTGTATTGTCTAATGGACTTTGAGCTTGAATACTGTTCGTTATCTCCATATATTTCATATATATATATATATATATATATATATATATATATATATATATATATATATATATATATATATATATATATATATATATATATATATATATATATATTCTACAAAACGCATGTTGTTGTATGTTGTATATTTCCATAAAATTATCATTCCGGAAACAAAACTCATGAGATCAAAAATTTATTTTATTTTTCTGGCAAAGTATCACAAACGGATATCTAAATATGCAATGATTCTGTGTACTTAATACAAAAAAGAGCAGAAAAAGGTCATTGAAGTCAACTATTGTGTAAATGATGAGGAATTCATAAGAGTTATCATGAAAAGAAGTTGGTGTACAGAAAGAGTGAACTGTTAAGTGTTTTTTCAAAATGCATATTTATAACTGTTGATTATGTTTAAGATTTGAAAACTCTGTGTCTGTTATTTATGTCAAAGGATAGAATATGCATCGATCGGTTGATCTACAACATTGGGATAGTCTTGCTCAGCTTGAGGCACATGAAAGTATGCTTTGTTTGAAATTTTCTGTTATTTATAAAGATTCATATTGACATTTGTACGCAGTGTGTATATATAGTATTGGTTTTACAGATCAGAAACTAAAGTATCAGCATGGAAGAGGGATATGTACTGTCTTCCTTTTGGATACATCAGGCAGTATGGCAGGGGAAGGGTTCCATCAAATGAGGAAGGCTTTCATGGATATATATTAATCGGTATAAATCTCACTGTGTAAAAATATGAAAACGAATTTGTACATATCCACTAACATTTTTTGCTATCATAGATTGCATGTATATGCTATATGGTAAAGGTTATCACATATGATCTGCAAATCTGCAAAGAAAATTTATTTGAATACGTAAAAAGTAAAAACCAACTTGAGAAGACGTAACTGTATATTTTAAACAAGAGATTACTTCTTAATCTATGATAAACATTTTTATATATGTATCTTAAAAAAATTAAGACAAGGTAGATATTGTGATACAATATGCATTATTCAATAAATGTTGTATATCACATTTAATTAAACACTGTATAAGATTCGATTAATCAAAGTTAAAAGCTTTTTAAATTTTGCACTTATTATCGTACAAATTCTGATCAACTGAATAATTGCAGAAAAAAATCTTTTTATTATGCTATAACTTAGTTGAAAAATTATGCCTACATATTTTGGAGTGTATATAACACTCACTCTGGCATTATAATTTTTCTTCAAATTTCAAAGAAGTCAGTACTCATCCAGATGAAGATGAAAATGTTGCTGTCATAACATTTGGCAGAGAGGTCAAATTCTTACATTATTATTCGAACAACTTTGGATCTCTTAGACAAAGTCTTGGTATTGTATGAAAGCTACATATGTTTAAGAAATCAAAAATCTAGAGAAATTGGGTTTTTACAGTATCATACATGTAGTTTCTCGCATTTCGTTCTTTTTAGATTCAAATGAATTTATAACATGATAACATAAGAGTACATTTATATTTATTTCTATTTGTGTTTTTAATTAAG